CCTATATCTAGTAATTTCCCGACTATTCCCGAAGGTTCGAAGAAGTGGTGTGACACTAGTCACGTGACCTCGCTGACGCAACAATTTTTTGTTGCTGGTTGTATTTCGCGTAAAGCTACTCGAGATCTGCTCTAGCTATTTCTAACTTTAAAGTGATAAATTATATGAAAAGCAGATAGTTAAGATCATCTACTACCGACTCTTGAGGTACACTTTTACCAACGAATAATGGGATTGAACATCACATTATAATGCCTCTACGGCTGAAAAAACGAACATGTTTGGTGACGGGTTTCGATCTTATAATCCGCAGATTGACAGGACCGGTGCTACGTGTTTTGTCACACTCTACAAACGCTGACTGTGCCGTCGTCTACCCCCACCAACGAATTTTCTGTGAATCGTCTTTAGACAGCAACAGTGTTATGTTCTAGCTGTATGATTTACAGTTGAATGCCGATTCTGCCTGATGAGGAATTTTTTGCTCGTGCAGGGAGCAGCTGGTGACCAGAACCAATTTTTTGATATTTATTTTTGTCGCCCTCAAGAACCGCGGCCCTGTGCAAATAGATGTATTGCGCTCCCGGTCGCGTCGACCGTGCAGATAAGAAGTCGAGCGCTCTAACCGTCAGGCCATGTCAAGCTCCAAGCTGGATTGCGGACACTGCTACTGTTGGGAAACTAGATCTGGAAAATGTTGGGGGAATGACATTCAAAGTAATTTACAAGGAAACTTGTAAGCTTTTGATAGATTGGCAAATGTTATTACCCTTTTACTACAAGAAGAATCATTGGTAAAACGTCTAGGAGTTCTTGGAACATCTAATTAACTTCTTTTGAAGTCATTTCTAGCCATTTGCCAAAATAGTGTACGACGTTGGTATTTGTTTATCTTGTTGTCGGAATCAACGTCTGAAGGCTCAAAATATTTTGCTAGGTTGGCTTGTAGTTTCAGTGATTATCTGGGATTGACGGTCGGGTAAGTTGAAACTTCAGGTGTGGCTTTTATGACAAATGTTGTGGCAGGGGTTTGGGTTTGCAGATTTGTTGTGTGGGTTCGATTTTAGTTGATTTGAATTTTAGTTTTGGTGTGCAATCTTGGCGAAGAAAGTGGGATCTGGCGTGAAGTGAAGAGTATGATTTTTGGAAACTCGATGGTCTTTTCTCTATATAGTTTATCGGCCGTGAAGTGAAAGTAATCAAAGAAGCAGCCATGTTGTAGTATTCATTCTGTAATGTTATGGGATCTTATCACTACTTTAACAAAATATACTGTCCTTCCAGCTTTGTGGGGCGTTAACTGATAGACACAATGGATCTGAGTTGATAAATCGTCTTCTAGTGCTCCTTTAATTTCTTGAGTAGTGATAGAAAAATTGATGTTTCGTAAAAAGACACTGTATAGGCTAGAGCTACTACCGGCAGATGACAGTTTATTTATATTTCTGAAATGCATGAAGAGTATGGGTAAGTGAAATCTTCAGATGTTAGAGGTTAAACAAAAATACCACCACTTTTAGGCCGTCGCGTTTTATTCACTTGTAGTTTGGCAACAGGTTTATAGGTTTTTTGTAAAGTCACAAATTTATCGTATGCAATAGAAAGTTGGCAGATCAAAAATATCAGGGAATGTTATACTGGAACTAAATCTATTACTACTCTCGTTGGAAAATTTCTCAAATACATCCCAATTTGGAATCCATGCAGCTATAAGTTTTATTACTTATATACATATCGCATTTACTCCCCTACCTCTGAAAACAACAACAACAACAAAAAACAAACAAACGTACGAAGCTCAATTTTTTATAGGAAGATTATTCGTAAGAATTTCTAATTAATTCATTAAAAAATTTAAAAATAAACATAAAACAAAACCTCTATTCAATGCTTAGACCTCTATTCTTAGTCCTTATCAGCAATTAAAACAAAATATGTTACAAATATTATCAAGAAGATCAGATTAGTTGGTGGAAAAGATCCCATTTTGAAAATGCGGGTGATATGATTGTATAAAAAAAAAATCGAGAATGTAGTAGGAATTTTACATCATTACTGGTTTTATGTGACTATTATTAGTTTTCGTTATCAATAAATGTAAATTCTACAAAAGCACTATTAAAAAATCTTCACATATTCATTGGTGGCCAGAATAATTTAACAGTAGTATTATGTATGATGCAAACATTGTTTTGTTTTGTAACACCCTATATATGACATTACACATTTATATGAACTCAACTCCTGAAAAACCAAAATTTAGCCATAATTTGGTTTAATTTTAATTGTTTTCGACTTTCTACAGGCACTCACAATGTCGAGGCTTGACACTTCAATATAATAAAACAGTAAAAAACAAAAACATCAAACGCCACTTAATTATCATGTTGATTGGCGGTATACAAATATAATTGTTGTGGCCTGTCTTGTCAACTAATAGTCCCCGATATCACTTACTGATCCAACTGCAAAAATTATGTACTTATCAGTCATGCTTTCTCGATTTACCGATTCAGATGCTGGCACGTAGATATCATAGAGTCGGTAGACTATATGTAGGGATGGCCAAGGTACTTAATAAGCATAATACAATTAGACACGCTGAAAAAAAACTCCATCACTGACAGAAAATTTTACTTTAAAAGACGATTGACATTCACATTCGATTGTTTCTCTACCCAACAAGCCAAAAAAAAAAACAAGGCAAGAAACCATCGCTAAGATACAAAACCAGAAAGTGACCAACCCACCAAATTGTTTATGTTTCTTCTTCTTGTTTCAGTCGAGGTAACTCTACAACTACTTAGTCACTAACGTCAGTTTAAACCTAAATCCACTATATGTTTCTTGGCAGTGCATGATGTCATAGCTTAGTCATAATAACAAGTAGTAATTTAAAAAAATCATAACTCTAGTGTAAACGATGTTATCATTACCCCTTGAAGTTAGCAATTTTTTAAAGGAAATCTGGTGTTCCATTAAAAAAACTTAAGTACAGGATAAATGAGAATTACCAGCCAATAATAGATGAACATGAACTCAATGCTTGTACACTGTACAATCGGTGTCTTTAGGGAGCCAACCCCTATACTATGCACGAAGTGAAGGAGTTAAAAAATAAACCAATACATATAATATTACATTTTCTTAATCACATTCATAGGATACACTAACTTCCAATCAGGGGAAGAAAAGCCGCAAAACAAGTAATAAAAAACATCTCATATATGTAAAATGATGTAGGGATGGCAGTGCCAAAGAGAACTCAAACGAGAATATAGAGATGATACAGCTTTACATAGATCATCCCCAGATGACTTTCAATATTAACATTCAATGTTACACTGTAAAATGCATGCCTGACTTTAATAGTACTGCAGTTGGAAGTTATATATTCCTGACTGTTGGTATGAAATTTATCATAATATTATGGTCATATCAAGGTAGTCGTTAATGTAGTGTAATTAAGAGCCTATGACTTAAACAGAAGGAAAACCGAGATGAGTCAAAACATGTCTTG